TAGTTGCTGATCTGAGAAATCACACAATCAGAGCTACAAAGATGGCAATGTTACTGCATCAATATTTAACAGATACTTAGGTTTTTGGTTAAAACTTTAATCTGTTATAAAATACCAGCCAATGTTTTTCTAACTTTGATTGACTGTGCCTGGTATTTTGTAATCATCATCATCATCATTATCTGTTATGTAATATCAGTCAATGTTTTCATAATTTTGATTGACTGTGCCTGGTATTTTTGAATAACAATAATGTACACCCTTAATTTTCAGCATCCATCTATGTTCTTCTTTAGTGATGAATCAATCCAATCTTTACATAATTACTGTACCAATTAAATATGAGCCATTCATATTTGAATCCCAGCGGTGCTGGGGTCCTTCATCGTCATCATTGCACCCATTTGGGAAGGAGCTGGATGGCAATTCTTTGCCTCCCTGTGCAGTTGACCATGACGGTGGGACAGAGTTTCCTTGCTCAGCTGGTGAGTGTATTCACTCAGCTATGCAGGGAGGTGGGGAGCTCCTTGTTGGAGTAGTGTGACACTGACGACAAAGGACCCCAGCACTGCATGGTGACTAGTAGGTGGACCAGCCAGTTCTGGGAGGAGGGAACAGGACTTTGTGGCACCTGTGATGCTGTGATTTGTATCTGTATCCCCAGGGATATGAATATCCAATACCTAATATGAATTTTAAAAAAGGAAAACTGTCAATAGGATAACATAAGTCCTTTTTTCTTCTTTTTACAAGTGCTCCTGTGTTTTTGGAAGGGTTGCTCTAAGGCTGCAGTGAACCCTCTCTTCTCCCTCCTTCATTATACATAGAACATAGCTCTCCAGCAATGTAGAAAAAAAAGGCTGCTTTCCCTACTAAGGACGTTCCCCTTGCTCCTCTCCTCAGCATTCAGTCCTCTAGTTGCTCCTGCACAAAGATGGAAGGTCTAAAGAAGGCTGGAAATGGCCCTCCTTTATACAAAAATGTCACAATGAGAAATAAAATAGAATAAATTTAGAAAGAATAAATGTTGTAGGAACTCCTGAAAAAATCTTGGAGGGCTACAGTATATGTAGCCTGTGGTATCCCAGAAATAAAATAGAATAAATTTAGAAAGAAGAAATGTTGTAGGAACTCCTGAAAAAACCTTGGAGGGCTATATGTAGCCTGTGGTATCCCTACTTTATGTTTTCTATTTTGCTATTCCTACTTTATGTTTTCTATTAAGACTCTTCAGAACGTCTCCAAAAAGTGTGTGGAGTGGAGAAAAATTAGGAACAATCCTCTCAAACCACTGCCAACTGCTATTCAACAACTGTCTTCTGACATTGAAGTGAAGCTTCTAACACTATTTGCTGCCCCACATTAGACATGTTGGCCTTACTAAACTAATAGTTTCTCTTATGCTTGAGATGAAAAGAAGAAACATGCTTTTTCCCCCCTCTCAAATAAAGAATTCAATCTAAACATTTTACAAGAACCAATTAGGGTCATCATTCCCTTTTTCTATAATCTTAATTATCTAATTCATGACACAGCAGTTATAGAATAGCTGAAAAGCTGTGAATTCTAATCCTGATAAAATGAGGTAGTTTCATCATGAGGCCCAGCGTGCTACAAGGGTCACAGTATTTGGTGTAGAGATGGAAAACCCAGTTGCAAACCCTTCTTATATATATAAGCAACAATTATAATTGTACAGGTCTTTCACCAGGAATGTATACTCTGACATAGTACCTTCACACCATTGCAATCTGTATCAGAGCCTAACCTATATGTTAGGGGTTTTGTGAAGATAACACTGCAATAGAAATGGGACAGAATATAAAACATAGAAGAAAGTAATCTACAAACACCATAAATAAGATATGAACTTCTGTGTATGTGCACTGAAGATGCTGAATCCAACTGTCATCTTTCCCATCCTGAGTGCATGGAATGTAATCTAAAGATGTACAATTTTAAAAAGGCGATCATGTGACTGTCATGTCTGCCTATGTAATGTTATGGGATAAATCCTACTCAGAGTAGATCCCACTAAATCAATGGGGCTTACATCAATGTCGACTTTATATATCTGTTGATGCAGTAGCCCTCCTGTGATAATTGACTGAAAATTATAATATTGGTAGCATGCACTTAAGCTAGAACTGATAACATTTAATATATAAAAGGTTCTTTTATACCCCTTAACCTCTGTTCTGGCAATAAATGTAAAGGTAAAGGTTCCCCTTGACATTTAGTGCAGTTGTGTCCGACTCTAGGGGACAGTGCTCATCCCCATTTCCAAGCCGTAGAGCCAGCGTTTGTCCAAAGACAGTTTCTGGGGTCACGTGGCCAGCGTGACTAGACACGAAACGCCATTACCTTCCCACCGTGGTGGTACCTATTTATCTACTTGCATTTGCATGCTTTCAAACTGCTAGGTTGGCAGGAGCTGGGACAAGCGATGGGAGCTCACTCCGTCGCGTGGATTTGATCTTATGACTGCTGGTCTTCCGAACTTGCAGCACAGAGGCTTCTGCGGTTTAGCCTGCAGCACCACCATGTCCCTCTGGCAATAAATGGAAACTAAGGCAAGTTCTACAACTGAAACAGAAGTTTGCTTTCAATGAGGACTCAATGAGGGATGAAGCTTGGTGGTTGCTTTCATAAAGGCATGAAACATATTTCATAGCAGGTTTACTGATTCAGTGTATGAGTATGAACTCCACACAGGATTTTGACAAATCAATTGTTCACTAAAAAGCCAGTCTTTTCCAGAAAGGCTGCCTGCTTTTGGTTGTTGTAGGTTTTTCGGGCTGTCTGGATGTGTTCCTGAGGTTTTTCTTCCTAACGTTTCGCCAGCCTCTGTGGCTGGCATCTTCAGGGGACAGGAGTGAGAACTCTCTCTGTGCTCTGCCTGCTTTTGTTAACACTCTCAAAAGTATTCTGAGCCCCTTCTAGGACTTCTCCTCAGCCCAAGGGACACAGAGAAGTTAGACCTGCCTGATCAAACATCTCAAAATAAAACTTAATTGGCTGCTTCCCTAGCCAATCACCATACAACTCATTTCATGGCCAAGATCATCAAGCTCCTTCCCTACCTGCCTTGCTGTTTTACCAAGCAGTTAACCTCTCTTTTGCTGAACTATAAACCTCACTCTCTCACAGTTGACCAGTTTTTGCTTTGCCATGGTGTCATGGCAGTTCCTGAGCTTGCAAAAAAGGTACTCTTTGAACCACTCCCAGAGCTCCACATACAATGTATCTGGTGGCCATTCAGATGAAGGGCTTCTAATAGCTCTTATCTGAAAGAGTACTTTACTCAGACTCTGACCAGTGCACTGTGCATTTGGAGACTTCCAGCTAACTGAGAGGGGTGAGGTACGTGGGAGGAAATTTTTTCATTGCCACTTGTGGAACAAATGTTGTAAAGGGGGTTCATTAGAGGTGGGAA